CAGGAATGCTTCTGGCAGTGTGTTACAGGAGGATCTCGGTGTCTCTTTCCACTTTGTTAGAGACTGATGATGTGTGTGCAACTTCAGCCCATTTTTCTTACTAGTCTTTGGATGAGGGGGCAGAAGATAAAGGAATATGTAGAAACACATGAGCTAACCTTGAGTTAGGTAGCTCTAAAGAACTGACAGTAGAGCAGCCATGGCAGTGCATAGCCTGCTCACACTAATTTACCAGCCTTCTGGATAAGATCAGCTTGGCTACACAGGACTCTGGTGCCGTGGCCAGGGCCTTGATGGTTTGTTAAGCCCTGGTAAGTATCTGGTTGTCAGCCATGCTGTAACTGACCTGGTGTATAGGGTGTTCCTGGTGAAGCTGGAAGGCAAAGCTCATTAAGTAAAGCTTCTTTGTGCTTGGATGGCAAGTAAGATTTTTGTAAGTTAGGAAAGAGAAGACTGAAAGTGGTATTTTGAAGCCTTTTTTTTTTTCTTCGTTCCTTACCCCCAGTCCTGCCAATGCTGAAGGACTGAGTATTGCAGATTAGAAGTGCATAGGTGAAATACATGGAGGCCTTTTTTTGCCTCTGCTGTTAATGTGTGCTTCTCTCTTCTGTTTAGGATCTCCAGTCAGTGCCCAGCCAGTGATTATGGCTGTTCCTCCCCGACCTTCTACTCTGGTGGCAAAACCAGTTGCGTACATGCCAGCATCAATAGTGACTTCTCAACAGCCTTCGTGTCATGCAATTCACGTAGTTCAACAAGCTCCCACTGTTACAATGGTCCGAGTTGTGACCACCTCTGCAAACTCTGCAAACGGATACATCCTCACAAATCAGGGCACAGCAGGAGGAGCGCATGAAGCTGCAGGAGCAGTGTTGGACTTGGCTGGTGACCACCGAGGTAGCTTTTCACCTCCCTTACTACTCAGCTAAGAAGTCTTGAGCAAGCTTGGGGTGGTGGGTGGTCAAACACTGTTTTGCTCACTGGGTGCTTAGCCCTTAATGAAAGATATTTCTGCAGGTAAAACTTAAACCAAGTAAGAGCTCATCCATTTGATGTTTCTACCAGTGGGCAGGACAACTGTGCTCCCTTCCTTCCTGTGGGGAAGAAATATAACAGACTGGAGGCTATAAAAACATTCAGTGCTTTAAATATTTGTATTATCCCCAATATCAATATTATGCCTGTGTATTGGTCAGCTGGATGTGCTATAGAAATGTGTGCTTTCTAGCCAAAAGAGATGGTCTGGGAAAGGCTGAAACTCTCTGCTTCAGGATGATCTTGTAAATAAACGATTGAGCCTTTCTCTTCCGTAGGCCTGGATTCCTAGAGGTACACGTGTGCTTCTGGAAGTGCAGGCAGTGCCCCATTAAAGCAGTCTTTGAAAACCAGTTGCAACAAAGGCCTCTTTTTTCTGAAGCTGGAAATTCCAGCCTTGGGGGATTTAGTGAGTTAAATGTTCTCTTGCTGTGATCTAGACAACACCTTGTCCACTCACCATTTCAGAAGGGCTTAGCGCTACAGGATAGGTGTGTCTTGTACCAGCAGCAAGACTAGTTACTCTGCTTGGCTTTTGTGGTTAGTGAGGCAATGGTTCTTCTTCAAGGGAAAGACAAAAATGACAAAGACCTTCCTCCACTGCAGTAGCAGGACCACTGGCATTTTTAGTTCAGCACGGGTTATGCTGCTTGAGTTTCACTTGCATTCTCTAGAAATTCCTGTCTGGATCCCGTATGTATTCCTGAAGCGCCAGCAGTTGCAGCTGCCTGTTTGTCACCTGCTCCCTCCTTTCATTCACTAGTTCTTACTGTCACTCATTCTTTCCTTACTTGTCCCTCTCATTTCCACTCATCCTTTTCTAGTTTCTACCTTCCCTTTGTTCTTCCTTGTTGCTTCATTTTCCTTGCTAATCTCCCAGTCTTCCTTGCCTTTTCTCTCCCCACTTGCTACCAGCCTGCCCTTGCAGGTCTCAGCTCAATGCTTATGTCCTATCTAGCTCCACTCTTCTTGTCTTCTAATGTTAAAATGGGAGAAGTCTTCTCTTCCTGCAGGACTAAGGAGTTTGTGCTTCCTGCCTGCCTTCTCTGCTCTGAGACCCACAGAGCCTCTGGAAGGGAAGAGTGGCTCTTCTCTCCTGCATGTCCAGCAGGATCCTGTCCTGTAGCTGTTACGCACCTGCTGAATTGACCCCTTGCTCATCCTGGGAAGTGAGATGGGTGGCTGAGTGCTCTCAAACAGTTACATTTATCGAGGAACTCAGCCTTCCTTCCCCTACCCCCAGCCCCCAGCTCTCCCTCCTGGTTTCTTCCTGTACTTCCATAGCTGGCAAAAGCTTGCAATTGTGGGAAGACCTCCTTTTAAATCAGCCTACTTGCAGGCCTGACAGCAAGCTGTTGGAGACTTTTGGCTCCAGGCATTGTTTAAGATCCTAATGCCTTCTCCTACTGTGTGATATTGAGAGTCAGGCAAATTTGCCTGTAATTGCCAAGTAAACTATGAGATTTGCAGTGACTGCTCTCCATATCACAGCTGTAGCGTGCCAGTAAGGGAGATCATGCCTTTATAGGACAAGGGGTCAAGTTTGTAATCCTGATTTTTTTTTTTTTTTTTAGCTAGATGGCTTTTGCTGTAAGAAAAATGTTCTTGACATTGATTGAGTATATGTGCAATAGAGAGTATTTTTGTGTTTTCAGATATTCATCCCCTACCTTCTGATGTGCTTCAAAATACGCATTTCAGAGGGACTAATTTTCTCTATTCTTATGTCCCCGATTGTAGTGTTCTTTGCCTAATGAGCAGGGTGAGTGAACCATTACCTTCTTTACCTCATCAGAGCTGACTACACTGTATGAATTGGACTGCAGAAAGTGTGTGTGTGTGTAGAGCCTGATGCTACCCTAAAGAGTCCTGGGCACTTCTCACAGTATTAGGCCTCTAGGAATATTCTCAACTCCTTGGAGCCCAAATCTGTTACTTTTGTGACTAAGCTGCTTCAGCCTGAGAAGCAATGCTTTCAGTTCACACTCTGTAAACCTTGGACATGTCAAAGGCAAGTGACTTTGTGGTGCTGAGGTATTTTCACATTTGTAAGCCTGGGGTACATATCACTGCTAAAGTGTTAATGAGAACAAAGCCTGCTCCTAAGGCAGGGTGGTAAATGATTGTCGTCTGTTCTGCTCTTAAGCAGGCATGGATGAAAAGCCAACGATCGCATTTGCCACGATACCTACAGCCAGCCGTGTAATTCAGACAGTCGCCAGTCAAATGGCACAGGGCGTTCCAGGACAGACAGTCACGATCCTTCAGCAGGCAGCTCCAGTGACCATCGGACAGCATCAGCTCCCCGTACGGGCAGTCACCCAGAATGGGAAGCATGCCGTCCCCACCAACAGCATCACCGGCAGTGCTTATGGTAGGCTCTGTTTCCGTTGCTTTCTGGTTCCTGATTGCTCTCTGAGCTTAGCAGTTAGATTGTAAAGCTGTAAAGGTTTTCTTCTTAGCTATACGGGTTATTCCATGTGTCAAATTCCAAAGGTTATCAATTTTTCAGCTTCTATGGCTATAAATGCCAATGATAGATATCCTTCTGTCCACTTCTGCTCCTTTTTCCTATGGGAAAGTTTTGCTATCTACCATCGCTTCTGAAAAGTCTAGCATCTTTGCTTTGTCCTTAGCTATGCACTTATGACTACTTACACTCCCTGCCTTTTAAGGGTTACTTGTTGAAAGTGTTCGTGATTCTTGTGTAGAGCCTCTTTTCATTAGTTTTCCTCTGACAAACAGCTTTTGCTTTCAGCATGCCAAATAATAAAATTTCCATGGTGCGCTCTAGATCTTGTGAAATATGACTCCATAGAGTATTAAGAAAATAACATACTTTCCCATCTTATGGTTTTAGAGCCTGAGAGAAATAAGATCATCAGGTGAATGAATGTAGAATACTTTTTTTTAGACAGGATGTGTTCTAGTCATTTGTCAAGCCTGATGTTTAAAATCCCGTACTAGCTATGTCTTGGCAGCCTCCTCTTATTGCTTGCTCAGCACCTCAGGTTTTGCCCAGTGAAGGATGATGACTGGGGATGGTCTTACAGCCGTTTCCAATCTGATGCTAAGCACCTCGCTGTCCCAGGCTGGTGCTTAGGGGGAGTTTGAAATGAAGGGCACTGGTGGGATTTTAAGGGCTTTCAAGAAGCAAAATAGGAATGTTTCTGTGGAATTTTCTGCCACGTCTATTCAGTTTCACCTGACTCACACTTGAATTGCAATAATCTTATTGGAGCAATGAAAAAATGATAGTGATAAGGTTTTTATGCAGCTAGGACATTAAGATATTAAATAGATGAGATAGGTGGAGTTGCTGCTACCCAGCAGTGGTGTTTGTCTAATGCAGCATCAAACAGTTCTTTATTTAACATTTTTATATTACTCTGATCTCACCAAAACTTTTCTAGCGCTCTCATCAAACTGGAAAGTATTCCAGTTGCATCTGAGTATGAGGTTTTTTGTAAGTGGCAGTGGATTTTTCTGGCTGACAGAGCAGAGACGGGGTCTCTTGACTTTTGTCTGTACAAAGCTAACTTCTCTTCAGCTGCATGGTTTAGGTTTTCTGTAAGTCTGTAATTGGTTACCGCCCTCCTCCTTGCCCTATTTTTTTTCCCTCATCCTCTTGATACTCTTGCTGGACTTTGAGGGTCTTTGTTCTGTTTGCTTTGTTTATCCTAGGGCTCCTTTTTTGATGCACTTAGCAGTGAACACACCACTAATGTTCTGTCATTCCCTCCTTTGCAAATCAGTCTGGAGGGCAGAGGATGTGCAGTCTCCTGAGTCCCCTTTGGCTGCCTCGTCGATTGATGCAGAGTCCAAAAACTGCATGGGTGTTGTTTTCCAGGCAGTGTTGTGTGCCAAAGCCAGTGTGTAAGCACATTCTCTGTCTGGAACTAGGAATTGTAGACATTTTTACAGAGAGTTGCTACTTAAATTGTCATCTTTCTCACCACTTTTATTAATGGGAGGGTGAGAGCTTTTGTCAGTACTGGAATACATGATTGGGAGCCAGAAATTCCTACATTCTGATCGCAGTTCTGATG